GGGAAGGGAAGGGAAGGGAAGGGAAGGGAAAAGGAAAGGAAAGAAAAAAGAAAAGATGCTCCACTGACCCTATGTCCCTATCCAGTTACTCTCCAACTCTCTCATCTCCTTCAAGTCAAGCTTTACAAGGAGCTGATGTACATGTTCTGCCTGTACTTTCTCACCCCCACTGATTGCTCAGCCCCTGCCTGTTGGATGTCTGTGATGACCTCAATGCTGAAAACAATCTGCCCACTAATACCCTTGTTACACCCAGTGGAAACTTGCTGATTCTCCCGGCCATAACTGAAAGAGTTTCCACTTACTTCTTTCCTTAGGATCATGACCCCATACTCTCCTCATTTCACTTCTGCTTCTCTGGGACCCTCTTCTCCTTCTGCTCTTCCTTAGCTAACTTGTTTGATAGTGACCTTCCTCCGGTTCCCACCCTCTTTCCCACACCCTCTTCCATTCTCACACTGGACACTCGCCCTACAGGATCGTACCTGCTCCTGAGATAGTAGTTACCTCCTGTAATGTGAGAACCCCCAAGTCCGTGTCTTCTGCCCCAAAGTAGCCCCTTTGCTGCAGATAGAACCAATGGACAATGGATGAACCACAGACAACACCTAATGCTTAACAGGCACAAAACTGAACCCATGATTGTCACCTCTAAAACATCTCATTCTTTTGTGTTCCCTTCTCAGTAAACGGTACACTATAGATAACCATCCACTAGTTCCCAGATCAGAGTCTTAGCAAATTAATAATCATATTCAGTTGATTCTATGACTAGTTATTGTATGAACTCATCCTCATTGCTATTTCTCTAGACCAGCATCATCAGCTTTAACCTAATAACTTCAAATGCCTCCAAAACAGTTCCTTGCCTCCAGACTCCCTCAACTCCTATGTTTGCACATGTTTACGCAGGGTGGTTCTAATAAGATGCGAATTTCAGCATAGTTCACCTGCTTCCACCCAGTTAGTAATACCCCAAAGACCTCAAGATTAAGTCCACACTTCTTTGCACAGCTTATAAATTACTTTCTAATCGGCCTCTGTTGCCTCGTGTCTCCCCAGTTTTTCTTTTGCAGCTCACGAAACTACCAAGAACTTCTCAGTAACGATCTGTGGTTGGTAGGATGGTGGCTTGAACAAGAAACCGATCTCCCTCAGGGACCATCTTGCTTCATTTCCTCCCACGTTTGAAAAGGAGCCCAGTTGTCTAGCTGGGTAGCTAGTCTGTCACCAAAGGCTCACTTTCGTGGTTCTTTTGATTTATACTTTCCTTCCTAAAATTTCAAAGCAAGTCACTAAACCCTGAAACTGAGAAGTGTTTTGCCAGCTTCATTTCTGCCAGGTGGGCCATGTATTTTCACATGTATGTGTTTCCCCAACTGAAGAAATCTGCAGTTCAAGACCAAACCAAAGAACCTGCCTCTTTAGGGGAAAAGGCAGGTAGAATTCATGCTTCCCACATTTCCCACATTTCTGAAGGTCAATGCTTATCGGAGCAGTAGTCATTTACTCTCCTGTGCTAGGTGCTGAGGGCCTGGGGTCTGGAATTTTACCTTCTTCTTAGGGCCCAGGATTCATTCATTTTTCAATAAATGCTCATTGAATTGCATGTTCCCTGAATACTATATTTAGCACTGCCCTCATGTTCATCCAGGACAAGAAGAAATATGCCATGATGCTTCCAATCCTCAAAGAAAATTCAGGAGCAATAAGAGAGAGCTGCCTTTACATAAACTGTCCCCTTTTAATAGGACGTTACTTGTTCATTCATTCATTCAGCTCCTCCAGCACTATAAAAAACTGATAGCTTTAAGGAAGGTTAATCAATTTTATCTGGAAACATTATTTGAATGAGACCCCACGTAAATAACTAGTAAGGCGTTAATGTGTCTCGCTATAACAGGAAGTATCTTACGGAGGGTAGAGATCAACATATGTAGAAACTTCTACCTGATGAAACTCACCTTCTCTGAGACTTCTTGCCTAAAAATAGAAGAGAAAAGAGGCATCAGCAAAAGTAGACAATTTCAATGTTTTAAATTTAGAGAGAAAGGAAATTTCCCACTCTCAAAACTGTTTTTTGAAGTGTATCATGTATTTGTTAGGGGGACCACATCTGTGTCCAGGGGGATTTGAGGTACTGGCTTAACGTTCTAATTCAGACAGGGGTAGATATTCATTCAGAACAGACCTATCAATGCAGATGCTTTTCAGAGGACCATTTCATCCTCTGTGCTGTGCATGAAGGCAGAAGTCTAGTCTGAACTGTCCAGTGATCAGGCTCGACACACCTGTTCATGGGTTTATCCTGTCTCAACCCACCATCTCAGCCCACCTGCAGCTGCCTCCCTAAGAGACCCAGCTGCTAATACTGTAAGAATATGTACCACTGCGTCTCACATCACCTTCTCTGTGCGAATCCACCAGAGAAATTTCACTCAGGTCTCAGGGGTCGGAACTACATGTCTCATCTGATAAACATTGTATTTTTATCTTACAGTCCCAGTGAGTATCATTCCTGGTCATGTGTCCTTCTTTGACTGACGGCAAGGAAACCCAGAGCCAGAACCGAGACCCTCTTCTATCTTGACTTTACCCCTGGCTCTGACTTTTTTTTTTTGTACCTCGAATTTTGGCCTTCTTTTTCTTATTTTTAAACTAATTTTAATTTGCTATGTTGAATGCATTTTGTAAACTATCTTACATTCTCTTTTTGAAGAAAAAATAAAGGCGGAGTATAAATAATTAGATGAATGAACTGCAGAGTTAGGCTCCGGAGGACATAAAAGCAAAAACAAATGCTTTTTGAGGAGGAAAAAAATTGCTAGGAGGTAATATATTTCAGTGGCTATAACACAGAGCTCCAGATCATCGAACTGGATCATCCAGGTCCCCTTTTGCCAACTGCAGTGTGTGTTTGAATAGCTCCTTATTGTCCCTAAGCCACAATTTCTTCATCTGTGAAAGAGGTATGATAATTATAGCTTCCTCCTTTAGTTGATAAGATAAAATGTATTCAATGTACTTAGGCCAGGGCCTAGAGCATAGGCAGTGCTCAATTATTTTTTAAACTGTTAAAATGTTGCAAATTACTATTTCAAATATTTCCTCCAAAATTTAGCCTGCTGGTGACATGGGCCAAAAGCACTTAAGCAGGGAGAATTCAATCTGAATTAATTTCAGATTCTGTTCATTTTCCAATGAATATATATATGTATATATATATATATTAGGAACAGTGAAATACATAACAACATGTAAGCAAGAATTTGTGCCTACTAAGATTCTTTTTCAAGAAAAGAGAACTAAAGGTCATGTTTTCAGTTTTGTGCCCTGTGTGTTGGTTCGGGGCGGGAGGGGAATTCTTCTGGGGTGGGGAGGGGAATAAAGCCTCACTAATCTGAAAACCAGTGGCTTTAGGAGACATATCTGGATGGGAGTCTGACCTCTGACTTTGGCCACTACAATATGGAATTTTAAAGGTTTGACCTCAGTTTCCGCATTTACAGAAGAGAGTCAGTGAGAATGACTAATCAGAGGATGATGATAAGAATTGTTTCTAGACAAGCCCGTGCACAGGGAGGCGTGTTTTCTGGAGCCCACCAGATTCCTTTCTTGGAAAAAATGGAGCTAAAATCTATATAACAAGACAAGCAGGGCAGGGGCCAGAGTACAGGTTCAGAGGCTCCATCTGAGGGCAGACAGGACAGGCGCCAAGATTGTGGTCATTTCATTGGCTACTATGCTCTAAATATCCACTTGTCCCCTTTTTCCAGCTTTGTCAACCCCCAAAGCCTATAAAATTCTCAGATTGATGAATACTATTTACATGCAGATGTACTGGTTTTGACTTTTATTCTTGACAATGAATTAGCTACACTGCACTAGAAAAGTTCTGGGAGTTTAGCCTGGAAACCTACCCATTATTTCTCACGTCATCTCCATAGGAGAAATACTTTCCATGTTTCAAAGAACTAACTTACCCCCAAAGTTTTTAGAAGGCAAAGTCACTTGAGAGCTGGAAATATCAGAAGATATTTCACAAACAAAGACTATTTCGTATGAGTTTAAAGATACCCTGACTCCCTTACAAAGTCAGTGAACTTTGGGGGCTTCTGTTCTCTTGTTCTTTTTGTTGGCATAACTGTAACTAGCCTAAACTGCCTGTTATCTGTTTCCTGTTCGCCCCACACTGATTCCCACAATAGGGGCATGCAGTTTTCAAGTTATCAGTTTGAGATCTTGTACAGAAATGACTCCAAGGTAAAAAATTTAAAAACAACCCCACTGCTTTTCTCACCACTTCTTATAAAACAGCCCAAGCCGGCACCCTCCCCTCCCTGCACCCCACCACTAAATACACATGACTTCAACTCTCTTTTTTTTACTCTCCTAACGTGTGTTAAAAGATTTGGAATTTGGGACTATCCTCCTTATTAAGGTAACTCACCGCCCCAAAGTCCTTAATGATTATTCAGATAACAGCTGGCTTATCCCAGAGGGTGGTGTTACCCCCTCAACTTCTGCCACCATCACCCAAGGTAGGAGGAAAGAAAGGATGATTGGGGTCAGGTCTCAATGGAAAGGTTAACCAACAGTGGAAAAAATAATCTCATTCTTCTTTTGCCTTAGTGCAATACTTAAGTAAATATAAAATATTACAAGATGGTGGGATCCAATCCAATCTTAGCAGAAGTTCCAAGAACAGGAACAGAGACATTTTAACTGCTCAGGGCTCTCACTTTACAGTTAAGGAAGTTCTTGCACATCAACAGCAACTCTTCACCCCTGCCTTTGTGTTTCTGGGTTGGTTATAAAGCTAATCTAGTACCCTTATTCTTGAATTTGGAAGGAAAGATCAGATCATAGCAGAAGACAGTTAGGGATTGGTTGATACTATTCCTGCAGTTGTCAATGAGAATGGGTGGTGGGGCAGCCTTTACAGACCATATTCATGGAACAGAATACAAACTAATTAATTTGATGGAAGTGAAATTAAAATGCCAGTCAACTGACCCCATAGAGGTAACTCAGAGCAGTTGGTTAGCAGTTGTTTTGAGCTCATTTGACGACCCCTGAACTTGAAGCAGAGTTATCTTAAAAGCTGCCTAATGTCCATGAATGTCATCATCTTGAATGTTTCTGCCTGATGACTTTGGCCAAATGTGGCAGCACACACCCCGGGCCTGCCGCAGACTGTGGGCCTGTAACCAGAACGTTGGTCCCACTTGAGGATTTGGACACACTCAAGAGGGAGGGGAGGGGAGGGATGCTGTTCTCTGACGATGCTCCACCTACTGTTCCAGGCAGCAGAGACTAGCTTCTGGAGGCCGCCGTCCTCAGTCCCTCTTCTCCTCCAGCCCAGAGTAGAGCATGACTATGTGGTGCATTTGGTTAAAGCTGTGACCTTGGTGAAGGTCTCACTGGGGAGAAAGTATGAGGATGTCCCCAAGGGACAATGCAACTGCTACATGTCAGGAGCCAGACAGGGCCTGACTCTTGACAAGTTTAGGTATTTGGGAGCAATACCTCGAAAACCTTATGGGACATTAGATTCACCTCCTAGTAGAACTGCACTGAAATCAAAAACATGTAGGCTCTTATAGGACAGAGATTATGCATCCTTTTTTGGTGTGAATTAACTAATAGCAAAAAACCATTACAATGTCTCATTTGTCTGTCAACACCCTAGCAAGGTGCCTTGAAGATAGCAGGCGTTTTAAAAGATTTGTTGGATACAAAGCAAAGTCAGCCAACTTATTTTAATGACAGCATGTACCGGGCTGCTTCACACCTCTCCAGGGACTGAGTCTACAGAACCTAGTGCTTGGCATTCCGCTTTACCTGAAGCTCTCATACTTAATTTCCTGTGGGTTTCTGTATTTTTTTCTGGTCTATATTTTTTTCCACTTTAAAGTTGTATTATTTTCATAGGAAGATAAACTCACATACCTTTTCTTTTTAATCTCCTTGCCAGCCAAATGATAAATACCAGCCCAGAGAATGCAGTCACCATGACTGCCACGGGAATGAAGAGGGGGTTATAGTCTCCCACCTCGATGGCTGTGACATTCCTTTCCAATTCTGAAAGAGAAATCAATAACGCACATAGCGTGAGGCCACAAACATTACTTCCTTAGTGCCATCTCATGATATTAGACCTTCCTCCTTACATCTCCTAATAGTAGCCAATTTGAGGCTGCTTGGTAGATGAGGACACTGGCGTGGGAAAGCCTACGAGGGTGAGTGGAAGCAGAGACTGAACCAGCTGTTAGAGCTCACTGCCTGCAGAGTCTCAACCCTCAGATTTGTGATTCATGGAACTCCTGGGAGATGTACCTAAAATTTTCGGCAAGAGCTGGTTATCATTGTATTTAGCTCCTTGGCCTTTTTCAATGGTTGGGACTCCGAAACACAGAGAAGGGCTATAAAGTCTACTACAACTTCAGGAAAAATAGAAGCCAGTGATCTGAGCCAGATAACTTATCAATCAAAGCAAACTCCGAGTGCTCTTACTCTGGAGCAGCTGTGCAAACATATGCATTTGTTGTTTACATGCCAACCATGATTATCTGCACTAATCCATCTTTCCAATGAGGTCGTCCTACCACTTCCCTCCACTTCCTTTACAAATAAGTGAAAGGATATATCTTTTGTGAATGTCAATTAAGTTCATTTGGGGACTTTTACTGAAAAAATGCTGATATGAAAAAAGCTATCTTCTGATACCAGCAATTGAAGAAACATGCTTTTGCATGTTGGCACAGGGTCTGACTGTCCCTTATTCTTGCTGTTACTTTGATGAACCTTTTCAAGGTGCTTCCACCCCCACCCACCTACCTAAATGTATAATGGAAAGGAGGTGCAAGATCCCAGAGGATCCAAATGGAGGGCACCTATGGGTTACATGAGGATGAGGAAATGGAATTGCCCCATACGCCTGATAAACAATTCTCCCCTGGGGTCTCCATGCCACCTCCTCAACTCCTTACCCTGCTCCCTGGCTCTGGGCCACAGAGAGACCAGATTCTCTGATAGCCTCTACAGATCCTACCATTTAAAGGCTTGTCATTGGTACAGATTGCCACAGGGGCAGACATGGGTAGCTGTTTTTTCCCATGCTAATTGAATGTGCATTAATTTAGCACCTATTGCCAGGCACTGTGTCAGGTGGAGGACACACACAGATGAGGAAGACACAATCCTTCTTATGCACAGGTAGATTTGGAAGGCATCAGCTTAGGGCTAACTGAGAAGTGTCCACTACTTTAGAAATTAGATGGTCATTGGTGACTTTTGTAGAGACGTTTTAATAGACTAACAGGGAAGTGAGACTGTAGTGGAATAGAAAAACGGACAAGAAATAAGTCAGTAGAGACAGAGAGTTTAGATTTTCCAGTAAGGGGAGTTGAGAATTGGATGAAAAAATAAATAAATCAGTGTCACTGAAGGAAGAGGCAAGAGCAGCCAGGAATTTTATAGTAAATTAACGTGTACAAATTTATTTTAAGCCCCATATATTTAGCAAAATAAACTTAAAAGTTCAATGCATCTTCTGCCACCATCTGCTCATTCATCAGCTGTCTCTTTAAGTCTTCAGTACATTGGGGCAAACTTACTCACTTTGACATATTGGACTAGGGCTGGACCAGTTCCCTGATGAACTACAAATAGTTTTCTTTTCCCCAATTAACTCAGTTCCATCTAAGCAATTGAAGGTGCACGTGGAGGTAAAGCCAAAGTCAGCCAGGGGGTGATTACAGTCTATGGTCCCCAAATCAGGTGCTGTTAGAGGCTCACACTCAATCACTTCAATGAGAAGGAAAAAAAAATACATCAGTATTTCTGAGCAGAGACGCCCCCATGACCAAAAGTTTTTAGCCAAATTACCTCACTCAACGGTGGAACCATTCCCATGTATATGGATGTTTCTAACTTCTGGAAATTGTTTTCGATAATGCTCTCAGACTTTATTTTAAGAATGATGGAGAGTGATGAGTCAGAGGTGAAGCCACGAGAGCCCAGAAAGCCCTTGGGGGTGGGGGGGACGGGAAGAAGAGGGGAGGGATGGCTGCTCAGGTTGCTGACCAGCCCTGGTAACTCTCCAGTGCTGCCGGAAGTACTGCGATACGTGGCCTTGGCCTCGGGGGCTCCCATGGACTTCTCGGGGAGTGTTGACAGTGTCTACCCTTCCACCTGTTCTAAAGTCTACCCAAGCAGTTTTGATTCCCAATTCTCTGAAGCAAGTCACTCAACTTTTGTAAAGTTCAGCAGGTTGGTCAATGAGTTCTATGATTTCAATAAATGATTTGAATAGTTCTTTTGAGAGTTAAACCACTTAAACAGTGAGTCAAAAGCATAAATGTAGAACATGTAACCAAAACTTCACAAGTTTAGACACCACCTGTTTTTCTTCCTCTAAAGGGATTATCTTCTTGGCAATAAAAAGAAAAAACCCCACCATATTTCAAGTGAGAAAAATAAAATCAAGAGATTGTGTTTTTGTTTTTCACAGAAGTTGCTGTTCTCCTGAGAGTTCGTGAGGGAAGAAAAGTGAAACATGATTTCAAGAATAAACCAAATAAAACAATAAAAAAAAAAGAACTCTAACCCCCTGAGAAGGAAATTGGTTGGTGTTAAGTAGGACACCACATAAAGTAGCTGTTATTGAAGGGCGAGAACAACCAAAATTTAACTGTGGTTCGGTAAGACATTATGCTATAGCAATGAGAAAAATAAAAATAAGATAAAATAAAAATATAGCATAACCACACTGTATTGCTAAAAAAATATATATATACTGTGAATGGCCTGAAAGATATTTGTTATTTTTGTTTGTGGTTTCTCTTTCTACTTTTAGTAACAATAACCTTTTTGAAGAGCATCACAATATAAAAGTTAGGATAAATTATGCTTCTGAAGGGGATACACGTTTCTTAGCAAGACTCTACTGCATTTTCTCAGTCTGTAAACCCAAGACGTCCATGACAAAGTCTCTAGTCTGAACAGTCACTCACCTTGACAGATTGGTTCTGGAGATGACCAGTTTCCATATGGTCCACAAGTGGTTTCTTCAATCCCAATTATGTCTGTTCCCTCGGAGCAGTTGAAGGTACACTGTGATCTGAAGCTGAAGTTTTCCAAGGGGTGAATACAAGCCATGGTACCCAACTCTGGGGCCTCCAACGGCTCACACTGAGTCACTTGAATAAGAAAAGAAATAGCATTGGGCAGTGTTAAGAGGACCTGATGACTGGGTTTGAATCTTAGCTTTGCCACTTGATAGCCAAGCACCTTTGAGCAAGGTGACATAACCCCTCCAGCTTTAGCTTTTTTATCTATAAAAGAGGGAGAATGATCATTGTATTGACTTCCTAGATTTGAGGTGGGAATTAAATGATTTAATGCAAGTCTAGGACTTAGAGCCTGACTCACAGAAAGCTTTAATTAAACATTAACTAATCTTATTATCTTTGGCATTACCTGGGGAGAGAATTTTAAACCTAGATAGGTGTCATTGGAGTGATCAGCTCAGTTTGAAAATAACCACATCAGAGCCACTGAGTGTACTACGGTGTTGGAAGTAGGAGGTCTGGAGAAAGACTTGGCACCCATAATTAGTCTTTTTTACGGGAGGAGAAGGTAAAGCTTTAGGAAGCATCTTGGCCTCGATTCTGTCTTCCTCCTCTCTACTTCAGTTCCAGAACTTTATTTCTTCTGTTTGGCAGCTCTCTCCAGAAGCTGTGTCTATTTCCCTGCTCTCCTTCGTGGTATGGTACATAAAATTAATACTTGGAAATCAGTCTTCACATTTTAGACCCTGCCATGCCATTTGGGCAAATACTGCAACTCTCTTGTCTTATTCCTTTTCAAATTTGAGCCATCATTTTAACCTTGTTCTTGAAATTTCAATGAAGAATGAACTCAAGAAATTAAAAGAATTTTTCCATTTTCCATATACAGTATAAGCCTAAACTAAAGTAACTTACATTGTCCAATTCAATTCTTACCCACAAACAAGAGCCTAATCTCAATCTTACAGATGCAGTGATAAATAAGATGCTTACTGATCTCAAATTGCTGTCAGTCTAGAAGGGGATACAGACAAGTAAATCGATGGCTTCAACAAATGTGGGCTAAGTAAGAAAGAAATGTGGAGCTACTGGAACACGGAATAGGGATGCTTGGCCTGTCTCGGGGTCCAAAGAAAGCTTCCTGAAAGCAGTGGCCCCTGAACAATGTCTTCAAGATGAGCAGGTGTGTTAGCCACGTGCCAGATCAGAGAGAAAGCCATGATCAAGTCAATGAGATACAAGGCGCATATGGTAAGTATGGAGAACTACAAGCATTTTGATGTTACTAGACGGAAAGAAGAGGCAGGGGATGATGTGAGATGAGATTAGGGAGAAAAATAGGAGCAAAGACAAAATGCTCTTTCCTTTTTTCATTGATTTAAGGAGTACCTACTATATACCAAGCATTACTCTGGGCCTTGAGGTGTTTGGTGTGGGGACAAATGATAAGTAGAAATTAAAGGGTGGATAGTCACATACGTGGGAAGTTTACTTGATTGTTTTTAATTGATCAGACGGCCTATAGGATGAATAATATATTTGAGGGGAGCTAATTGAAAGTTGTGGAGCTTGGCTCAGAAATTACTGCAATAATCTAGGAGGAAAATAATGCTCTCAATGGTGTGGAATTGACAAGTAGGAGACAAATTGAAGAAATAGTATAAGTCATAAAAGTGAGTGGTGTGTTGCTCTGCATAAATGTAGGGGAAGGTGAAAGAGATTTATACCAGAGTACCCATATAAATGGTGGTACCACATACTAAGATAAGGAATACAAAAGGAGAGTTGACTGGGGACAATTGATTTTTTAGTTTTTAGGGCATCCCAAAGATTCTGCTTAGCATATTTGGTATTGGGAGTTGGAAACGGATTTGTCAGTCCAAAACTCACATCAATTTGTGAATCTACAAAAGTCTATAAGTTTGACCAAAGGGGGCATGTAAAGTCAGAAGAGCAATGGACCAAAGATGGAAGATGATAAATAACAGTAAGTGTACGGACTTGGGTTAGTGCCCATGAAGAAAGCTAAGGAGAAATGATCACAGGTAGAAAGGAAGCCAGGGAAGACTGATATGATGGAAGCCAAGACAAAAAAAGAGTAAAACGTTCAAAAATGAGTGAAATGGACATGCCAATGATATAAGAACTTTTAAAAATTTAGAAGTGGAGTGAGGGTAAAATATTGGGTAGAAGTCATGGTGGAGGAATTGAGTGAAATGTCAGATCTGTTCCAGTTGGTCAATCATTTAAATTGATTTTGGCTTTGTCTTAATCTAGTCATTGCAAATACTGCTTTCTTTCCTTATTACAGTTTTCTATTTTATTCACCAGAAACTTCAAACATAGTTTTGAAACTCAACAGATATCAATCAAAGGACTTGATGTTCCTTTTCAGTAGTGAATTGACTAGGTCAAAGTCTCCTTGTCTTTGAATCTCTGTATTCTTTCCTTTCTGTTTCTACCACCATGACTCTGAATGATTTCAGTAGACTCCTAATGATGCTCTCCATCTTCTGTTTGTTCTCCAGTCCCTCTTCTGCACTGCTTCCAGGATAACTGCCTAAAATGCAGGTGTTAAGATACGAAGTGGCCTCCCATTGGCAAATAAAGGCCAGATTCTTTCATTAGGCTATTTCCAGTCTCCACAAGCTTACTCCAGCCTATCTGACTTCCATCAAACTAAATTATGAGCGTATGTAATTTCCACTAGTTAATTGTAACCCCTTTAAGGGCAGAATCTAGAATAGATTTGTCTTTGTACACCCTGAAATACCCAGGCCAAGTGAAGGTACTGGATTTATGATTCAATTCTCTGGTATATACTGTGTATTATTATGTAAACTTTTCTTTTTGGCCTTGCCCTGTCATCATTTTGAAGATGGCATAAAAAAACAAGATTACCTTCTGGGTAACTCATCCTCCTAACAATAAATGGTATTGTTTCTTTCAGATTCAGAGTGCTGATGAATCCAATAAGCTCACTAGATGATGAATTCCTTAACAGCAGGAATCTATCATGCCTGATTCATGGCTGTGGTCCTTTCCACTTTTATTCCAAGGCAAATATTCTTTGTGGCACTCAGAAAGACTTGTTGATAAGTGAATTGAAACTTCATGCTGACTTGTGAAATCTTTTTGGAGAGGTAACAATATTGTGCAAGCAGAGCCTTCTGGTCAAAACTTCTCATTTCTCAGAATGGCTAGTATCATTTTGTCCCAACCACCTTGCAGAAACAACAGTAACCCTTTACTTAGGAAGAAACAAAGAAACGAAAGAAGCTTACCGAACTGACACTGGGGCCCATAGTACCCCGCATCACAGTTGCAGGTGTAATTGTTGATAATTTCCACACATTGTCCATGGCCGCTGCATGACCAGGTCTCACAAGAAGCTTTCAGGGGGTCAAAAATGAATTATTTTAACATGAACACATTTTAGTACTCAAAGCCATGTCTTTAGACATAGATAACTTTTTAGTTACTAGTATTTTAATAAATGGGAAAACCTTCCCTGTACAATCGTAGCATTGTTTGCATAAAAAACCATATGCTAAATTTTTTATTGATGTAATATAGTCATACAGACATAGACTTTTTTTTTTAGAATGAACATTCTAATGCTAATACTCTATAACATTTGGGGGGGGGGACTTAGTGGCGTACTTTGAAACTCTTGAAATTTCTTTGTCTTTAATGTAGGAAGTGGATTAAATGATGACCTGACCCCAGTCATTTCTGTGGTATGCTTGGCAATCTCTTTCTTTATAGAAAGTACTAAATGAAAGTCTGAACTTGCAAAATCAGTAGAGGGTCCAAATTACAAGAGACCAAATGAACTATGTTTCACTGTCAAAATATGACTTGGAAAAATACTGACTGATTTCTTTAGAACTATTTCAATTGTCTCTACAGAAATTTTCATACACCACCAGTGCAATATTTCATTATATAGAATTATATAAGGTTAGGCTAAGAAGGAAACATGTAGCACTGAGCCCCCTTGGCAAGGAAGAAGCAGGTGATGTGACCCTAAGCTCCCGGCTGGACCCATTTCTCTGCTTTCACTGTCTTATTATGAGGGACACTGATTGTCTAGTTCTTCCTCCTTTTTCCATCTGTATTTATCATCTTGATGTAAAGTGATTCAGGATATAGGTTTTGGGTATAGAGACCAGCCTCACACAGCAAGAATGCTCAGGTGTAACGTGATTCAAGCTTATTCTGAGGACTGGACTTATTTCAGAATGTCCTAGGCACTGCCCTGTTCTCCCAGCGTTGCCATGGGGTTGGCCAGATCCTTCCCTTCCCTCCACCCTCCCGAGCAGCGCAGCAGTCTGGCCACTCCCTACCTGTGTAGCAGAGGGCCACCTTCGGCTTGTGGCAGGAGTCATCGTTCCATTTCCCTGAGTCTTTGGTCCTCTTAATGTAGATCTCCACACAGTCCTCCTTACTCTTCTTGTTGTTGGGCTCCCCATCGCCCCAGTTCGCGGCTTCTTCGGTGAGAGATTTGTTGGTTCCCATCCAAGTCCATACCCCTCCTACCTTCCGGATTCCTATCCAGTAGTAGTAACGACTGAAGGGCAGCGTCTTGTTCAGGTACTCGATCTCCCCCTTGTTTTGTATGGCAACTAAATCTGTGTAATGTTCTCGGCAGAACTCTCTAGCCAGTGACCATTTCATAGGTTTTTCAGAATGATGGTAAGTCCAGCAATCGGTGCCATGATGAGTGCAGAAACCTGAAAGACATTGCCATGGACTATGTAGACGCACAGTTACAGCCAAAGAGGACCCAGAACTAATCCAGGCTGGGCCTGCCACTTAGACATGAGGAAGCTGAGATCTCAAGAGTGTATATCACCAGGGGAGCATGCACCAGGTCCTGGGTTCAATCCCCAGTACCTCCATTAAATCAATAAACCTAATTACCTATCCACCTCCCCTCCAAACCACTCCCCCAACCCCCCCCCCAAAAAGAGTATAAGTTACCTTCCTAGAGTCATGGAATTAGTCACTGGCAGATTTGAAGTAGATCCTAGACCTTCTGGTCCTAATCACTTTTCACCATGATGCAGAATACTTTTGCTCATAGCTCTATTTTAGACAAATTAGGTGGCTTTCTAGATTTATTCTCATAAAATCATTTTTTCTCAAAATTCTCCTAAGTAAAATTTAGAAATTCATATTTCATTTTCTTAGTGGCTGTCAATCACTTAAAATTAATTTCAGTATAACATCATATAACTGTAAAATTCACTGCCCACTTTTTTATTCTGGATAATTTCCTAAAGGCCAACATTTATGTTGCTAAGGGAGAAGTAAAATAGGGGTAGGGATGATGGCCAACTTTTAAGGAATCTTTTTCATATCAAAATGACAATGTTTTACCATAGGAAGAGCTGCTTCTGGGAAAGCACACATCCCAAGCCTTCTACATCTAACTGTATAATAAAAAAAGAACAATTTACAAAACCAAACGATGTAGGATTGTGATGTTAACTTAGATTATGTTCTGCACACAAAAATACAACTGATGGTATTTAATGCTTTGAGTGCTTCAAATATGAGAACTTTGAAGAAACCGAAACAAACACATAATGACACAATGACCCTTTAGTATATGCCATTCTAAGCATATCCTATAAGGTAAAAGTTTTCACAGCTATCACCATGCATTGAGTTTTCACTGGATAGAGCAAAAATCATGGAGAAATACCAAAGAAAACATAGATCCAGTTTTTATAGTTTCCTAAGGATTCTGAGCAAGGAATAACAGATTCAAAGAAAGCATAGTTAATCCTGATCAAATTAAACATGTTGAAAATGTACAGAGAACTGGGAAACAGTTATGATTAATGAGTAAAGAATGTCATAAAATAAACATTTGGAACAGAGTTTTGAAAGAGCATTGCACTAGGAAGTAAGTTCTAAGAGAGAAGAAACTGTTTTGTTCACTACAGTATCCCCAGGGCCTAGAAGAGTATTTGGCACATAGTAAGGGCTTGGAACAAATGCTTGTCAAATGAAAAAAGCACTAGGTTCCCAGGTGGGATGAGGCATCATATAAGGTGTAAAGGGCAGAGGGAAGCACCTGTGCATGGCCAGAGCTGGAAGTCCAAGCTGGGAGTAAGAAGACATTAGATTACTTAGGACATGGGAAAGAAAACGCAAAACAACTACTGAAATGTCTTCAAGAATCAGACATAAATCTTTTCACCACATCAGTGGGAGAAGGATCCAGAAATAAAGGGAGCTCACACTTTAATTGTAGAAATGACATTGATGTGCACTGAACTGCTGATAAAAAATAGAAAATGCAGTGCAGAATATTCAGACAGATTGTAAGTTTCCTATTAGCTATTTCTTAATCGACTTTATTCCTTCATAATTAAGATCTTAGTGAATTATCTGGATTCAGACCCTGCAGCGAAGTATAGGGCAAGGCCAGGAGGTTTCTGGGGAAGTATTTAAGGTGACAGGAAGAAAACGGATGTCCAGAGATAGGTAAAATTAACAGCCATCAACCTAATAATTTTACCTGCAACTATGTACACCCAGTGGATATTTACAAAAAAAAAAGTAAAAAAAAAAAAGCTTAGCAATATACAAATATCATAACATACCACAGCAGAGCACAATCCAGACCCACAACTTAAAGACATTCCATAAGCCCCTCTGAGCGCTCTGACATTTCCATGGAAATATCTGCAAATAAAATACAAAATTATACTCATATCTATGCGCTAAATCACAATTTTACAGCACCTTCAGGAGGTCCCTACAACTTTCTTTTAAGTTCAAAGTATATGCTTACTAATCCTGTCTGAGGTAAGAGATTACTCAGACACAGGTAAAATTAAATTTGCTTCAAAACTGATGCATAGTTGTTGTGTTTTTCATATTTTAGCCTCAAGTTGCTGATTGTTGCTGTTATGCTTATTTTTGACATTTTTTTGTGCCTACTTTTCTGCTGAGCTGTCAAATGAAACTGTTTGGTATTTAGTATGTATATTTTCACAGAGTTCTTTGGTCCTTAATGAACTATTCATATCTAGATTAAATGTTAAAATCTCACACTTGACTAAGATGGGTCAACATTTCAAATACCTAAAAGAATTAGGTAACCAAATAGACACTACTGAAAAAAAAAAAGCAGTACATTTTTTTGTTCAACTAAAGAGAAACACATCTTGAGCAATTCAAATGACAAGACCACACATTTTCTTCACACTTTAAAAACATGTTTTCTGAAGTGTGTGTCAATGCTCAGGCCGCCCCAGTGTTTAGTCGTGCTAATTTTAACAAGATAATAGTATTTCCAGAACCTCCCCAGAGATAAGTCAAGGAGAAGAAACCGACACATCTGAGAGGAGAGACTCTAGGAGCACTTTTTAATTTACAGCATTTTCAGTTTTTTTAAACCCAAAATGAAATGTGTTGCTTCTTGTCCTTTGCCTCCTGCTTCTGCACTCCCAAGAAGAGGGTCTATCTGAGCAGCTGGAAACTTTTTAGGCTGAAACGCTTACCATGATTTTGCTCAGTCCTCCTCTAGTTCTCTCGTACGTCAGCCCCTCAGCTCAGCACCTGGGGTCTCTGGGTCCTTGCCCAAGGCTGGGTGAGCAGGGAGACTGCACTGTCACCAGAAAGGCTTACTTTCTTTTATCTCTTTAACCAAGGCTCACATCCTCCTCTTCCCCTGCTCCCTCCCCTTCCCCCACCTCTTCTGCTCCTCTTTCCCCACCCCTTTCCTGGTCTGGCCTTCCACACCTCCCCTGAGAAAAACAGAGCTGCTGACCAAGGGTGTTAATTACTAGATTCTCCCTTCTTTCCCTCCTTTCTTCCTGCCCTGTTTCCTCCCTCCTTCCTTCCTTCTCCTCCTTTTTCTTCTTCTATCTGTCTCTCTCTGTCTCTCTCTCTCTGTCTCTCTCTCTCTGTCTGACTCCCTCCTTTCCTTTTATAAACAATAGGCTAACTCCAGGCTATTCATGGTAGATGGCCCCTGATAACTGCAAACACCACACAATCAAGAAAGTGTTTTGGATAAATGTACAATGTCTGTTAATGTCTTCAGTAGAGCTACTCAACTGACTGGATGTTCAGCCTTTTCTCCTCTTCTTTCCTTGCTCTCCCCCTAGTGGACATTCTTGTTAATGGCACCTCCTGAAAAAGGTGAGCTGGGAAGAGACCAAAGTGGCTCTGGCTTTTTGCCCTAGCAGGTTTCGGAGCCTGCAAATGCCTTTATACTTTTGGAGCATAAAGTGTAAAGGAGATAGACTGCACATAAAATTAGGACCCATATAAAGTCCACAAATGACAAATGCTGGAGAGTCTGTGGAGAAAAGGGAACCCTCCTACACTGATGATGGGAATGCAGTTTGGTGCAGCCACTGTGGAAAACAGTATGGAGATTCCTCAAAAGACTAAAAGTAGACTTACCACATGACCCAGGAATCCCGCTTCTGGGCATATATCCAGAAGGAACCCTACGTCAAAAATACAGCTGCCCCCCAATGTCCATAGCATCACTGTTTACAATAGCCAAGACATGGAAACAGCCTAAATGTCCATCG